TTTACTTAGCAGTCAAGAGCTTCTGTAGTTGTTGATCATTTCCATTATTCTCCGTCCTGACCTTTATGTGTGATTCAGAGGTGACAGGCTATTTCATGATTTTTAAAATGATGGGATTTCGTGTGCCTGCTCCCGAGTGGATTTTACATTTGTAATCTAAGCCACTTGCAAATGATAACATTAACTCGACGAAGACACTAGTACTATACAAAACTCGTGTGTCACAAACATGCGAGGTAACCCTTTCACTCCATGGATTTGAAATTCAGTTAATTCTCCTAACTAATGCAATTAATTCTTTGTTGGCTATTCCTGAGAATTGGCGGTTTTATTTCAACAAATATCTCCCTATTCACAATTATCTTCACTTAAATTACCTACACTGTGTGTTTGTTTTTTCAGAAAGACGGTGTATTTCCTGGGATTTTCCAGTGCTCAAAATTTAATATGGCCGAGACACCGTAGCCGCCATCTTGAATTTCAAAGGAAAACACGTGAACATAACTTTTTTTCAAGCAAATTCAGCAGTACGTCGACTGATTTAAGGTTGATCTCCGATATTGGCTAGAAATCACTAAAGCGATCGGTTAACTCAAAAATTCGATCAGAAATGCGTTTTACAGACGAAACCGTGAGAATCCTTTCATTAAACACTCAGTGGTCATACAAGTAATGAATAAATTATGTTGATCAAGTGACTTAGCAAACACGAGATTACAATCTTAATGAAAAACTTGAAAAAAGGCCAAGCGATATTTGATTCATTTAACTCAAAGCAAATATACTATTATAACAGAAGATTCTGAAGTTTAACTCTTAGACGACCAGAGATCGATAGCGATTCCTTTTAATTTGTAAAAAAGCGTTTTTTCTAAAACAAACTGACTTTGTCATATTTTTTTGAACGACAGCCAAAGTAATTCCCTTCTCCTCATTAAATTCAGCGCGATAATTCATTGTCATAATTCTAACTGCACTAAGACGAATGATGGCACATGATACCGTTGATCGGCGAAAGCTCGGATTTTTAAAACATTGCAGTGTAAGGCTTCATTCGATTAATTTGTAATATATTTCAACAATGCTGCGGAAGGACAACATGAACAGATTATATCCTCGTTGTCTTTGGATTTCACTATTCTTCTTTGGTGTTTGTTTTCCCCATCAAACGATTATTTCGATGAAGTTAATTCTGTTTATAGCGATTCTCCGGCTGTTAAGCAAATGACTACTTAGCGCGTTGCCATCTTTCTTATTTAAAGTGATCCCGTTGAATGAATGTTTTCTTCCATTACACAGTCTTGCATTTGAATGTCAGTTTAATGGGTATTAGGATACTTCAAATAGAAAGCATTTCGTCGGATCACTCCACCCTCTTCTGTTACCTCTACGGTGGAACGATTTTTCAGTTCTTTGTCGCTCAAATGATCTATGGTCGCAAATCAAATAAGGATAACAAAATCGATAGTTTCTAGCACAAACAGCATTTTTTGCATGGCATTCTAAATTTTAACGTCGAAAGAAATAGCAAGGATGGCCCAGAAACTACTTCACTTCTTAAAAGAACGAAAAAAAAAAACACTTTTGTCCAATAAATTCTAAATCATTAATTGGTTACTATTGAAATATACGGGTACTAGTAATTTCGATAATTTTTTTTTTGTTATTGTTGTAAAGTACTACGCTGCTATGGGGTGCATAAGCCCTTTGTTTCCTAAAAGTTTCAGAATAAAAAATGACTTTAACGGTAAGCGCCAAACTTGTTTGTTTGATTTCAAATCAAAACAATTTTATTGTTCTGCTTGCCTATTGATACACACCTCGTACGGGCTCCGAATGAGTACGGAAACCTGCTTTTTCAGTGACCATTTATGGTGAATTGTTTTGGCTACGTGACGCGTGCGTTTAGTGGGAATAAAACCCGAACCACTTCGATTTTCATATTTTTCACAAGGAAATATCATATCTGATGACTGTCCAGCGTGTATCAGCTGCGAGAGAGATGGACGCCCTCTATCTATTTATGACCTTGCAAGAACAAAGTCGTAACACTTTTCAGTACTCGATGTGCCACTGGTAGACAATTGTATTTAGAGAGAAAGCCTTTTCATTTTGTCCGTCTAAGTAGCAGAATTATCATAAAATCAATTCACCATCGGCCGCGTAAAAAGCAATCACTTAACAAGGTAAAGATATGTTTGAACGCCACGTGCCCTGAAGAATGGAAATTCAAATGACAGTTCAACATCAGTTTCTAGAAAACGTTCTCACTTCAAAGAAATAAAAAGCAAAGAACCACGACAGCGATATGTGATGCATACATACTAAACTTAACCGAGAACCTTGTAATGAGATACTTCATATAACATACTTCAGAGACTAAGTAAAATACTCGCACTCTGATTGGTCAAAACCCATTCTTTCATTGTACCGGTGAGTTCATAAAAACTAAGACATGTTACAGT